TATTATTGCATTTATTATTTTATTCAATTATTATATTTCCATTATTTTACTTTATTATTATTATTATTATTACATTTATTATTTTAGTCTCTATTATTATTGGAAGGATACGTAAGCACATTTACATTGAAGAAGATTAGAATAATGGTTTAATCAGAGACGGACAGTCTTATCTTAATCTACTGATGCCTCAATGAATGTAATTTTATTGGTATCTATTTTTATTTTGAAATTTACCAGTATTTATTTATTTTATTTATTTACAATATTTATATCCTGCCTTTTTTTATCCTGAAGGGGACTCAAGGCGGCTTACAGATAGGCAAAAAATCAATGACTTAACCACAGTATACAATTAAAATGCATGTAATTAAAATTAAAAATCAACATTAAATGTATTAAAACAATACAAAACATTATTATCATTATAAACCACGCAATCTGCAATCATAGTCCAGGTCATTCTGATAGTCATTGCACATAATTCCGATTAATCTATTGCACTATGGTTCTTCTCTGAAGACTTGATCCCAGAGCCAAGTTTTAACTCTCTTTCTGAAGGTCAGGAGGGAGGGGGCTGATCTAACTTCACTGGAGAGGGTTCTCCACGGCCGAGGGGACACCACTGAGAAGGCCCTGTTTCTCATCCCCACCATTCATACTGCAAAGCAGATGGGATCAAGAGCAGGGCCACCTCAGAAAATGTTAAATTCTGAGATGGTTCATAGGGACAGTTTGGACAGGTAAGCTGGGCCAGAACTGTTTAGGGCTTATAGGCTAAAGCCAGCACTTTGAATTGTGCTCAAATGCAATTTGAATTGTAGCTACTGCATTTCCTACCCTTGGCTCATGCTCGAGCCAATACATTTTCCCAGATTTGTTTTGGTAAATGTAGGTGCCTTGGCTTATATTCGAGTCGGTTTATACTCAAGTATATGCGGTATGTTAAATTGTTACAGCAGAGATAAAGACAGAAGCAAAAATAATACTGTATCAGTTTTCTGGAGCCATTGAAAGAATATCAGGATTAAAGGAAAATGTCCACAACCCTATACTGGATGTTAATGGTGTTAGAAGAGACAGGACTAGATTGTCTCTTAAGGCGTGCCAGCACATGTCCCTGTTTGCACCACTGTTTAAAGCAGATCTTCAGGATCGGGCAGTTGAACATCATTGCCTGCCTGAAATCAATGGAAGTCTTTCCAGTGACTCAGGCACAGAGGAAAGACTATAGCTGGGCATGCACAAATACATCATTAACTAAACAGGTCATGCTGGGAACCTATCCGCAAATGGAAACAACAGGGATGCAGGAAGCACATTGGCACATAGCTGTATTTATAAAGTCTCATGCACATGATTCTTCCGAAGTGTTCTCAAGATAAGGAGCGCTTGTTATTATTGACTGGCACTGTTTTGATCATAAGATGTAGCATGTTGATTAAAAAAAACCTAGGGTTTGCTTTCCAAATGTGTACTCACCCAATAGTTAAGCTATACTGAACACAATGAGATGAGCAAATGTACTTAGTTGTTGTAAGTTTTTTCAGGCTGTATGGCCATGTTCCAGAAGCATTCTCTCCTGATGTTTCGCCTGTATCTATGGCAGGCATAATAAGTTTATTAAGAATAGCTTTGGCCATAGCTTACTAACCACAGATGTATTAAGAATATGCCACTTTCTAAAGCATTCTTATGCTTTAGAAAGTGGCATATTCTTAATACATCTGTAGTTATTAAGCTCTTACAAAGAGCAGTACAAAATGAAACATTAAACTAACACATTACAGATATGCCTACTTTGTACTATGCTTCTTGCAACACATTAATATTGCTTTGTGTCTCATCATCACTTTCAAATCCTGCATGTTTCCACGGAGAAAGACATCTGTCTTTATTAGAGGTTCATTTGGCTTTCCCTTTTCTTCTGTAAGAGTCCATGGCATTGCTTTTTTTCTTCTTCCTCAAAAAGCAAACTACTGGATTGATCTTACAACAACTTACAACAACCCAGAGCCCTTCCACACAGCCCTATACCTCAGAATATCAAGGCAGAAAATCCCACAATATCTGCTTTGAACTGGGTTATCTGAGTCCAAACTCAGATAATGTGGGGTTTTCTTCCTTGATATTCTGGGATAGAGGGCTGCGTGGAAGGGCCCAAGGTGATTCCAGCCATGAAAGCCTTTGACAATACATCAAATGTACTTAGTTTTACATTACAAAGTCCCTTTCCACACAGCTGAATAAAATCCCAGATTATCTGCTTTGAACTGGAATATATGGCAGTGTGGACTCTGATATCCCAGTTCAAAGCAGATGGTTGTGGGATTTTCTGCCTTGATATTCTGGCATATTCTGTGGAAGAGCCCTGACTTAGTTTTCCTTTTTGAGACTGACGGGAAAACCACAGGAGGATGAGAAATTGAAATTACCATTTACTAGATATCCGATGTGACTCACTGCACTAATTATACCCTATGATCTTATCACGGGAAAACTACAAAGAACCAGAAAGCCAGCATGGTGGGCCCTTCCACACAGCCCTATAACCCAGAATATCAAGGCAGAAAATCCCACAATTTTTGCTCTGAACTGGGTTATCTGAATCCACACTGCTATATATTCCAGTTCAAAGCAGATAAAGTAGGATTTTCTACCTTGACATTCCGGGATATAGGGTTGTGTGAAAGGGCCTGGTGTTGCTGCTTGAGCATTGAACTCTGGACACCAGGGCTTGAATCCTTGCTCCGCCATGGAAATTCACTGGGTGACCTTGGGACTCTCTTAGCCTCAGAGAAATGCACAAATCTTGGCAAGAAAACCCTGTGGTAGACTCATCTTAGGGCCCTTCCACATAGTCATATAAGCCAGAATATCAAGGCAGAAAAACCCACAATATCTACTGTTGAACTGGGTTATCTGAGTCCACACTGCCATATATTCCAGTTCAAAGCAGATGTGAGATTTTATTCAGATGTGTGGAATGGGCCTTAAGGTCCTTCCACACACCCATATAACCCAGAATATCAAGGCAGAAAATCCCACAGTATCTGCTTTGAACTGGGTTATCTAAGTCCACACTCTGATAATGTGGGGTTTCCTGTCTTGATATTCTGGGATACAGGGATGTGTAGAAGGGCTCCAAGGCAGAAAACCCCACATTATCTGAGTGTGGACTCAGATAACTCAGTTCAAAGCAGATATTGTGGGATTTTCTGCCTTGATAGCCTGGGATATAGGGCTGTGTGGAAGGGCCCTTAGGTAAAGGTAAAGGTTTTTCTCTGACATTAAGCACCCTTCTGCACAGCCCTATATACCAGCGTATCAAGGCAGAAAATCTCACAATATCTGCTTTGAACTAGGTTAGCTGAGTCCACACTGCCATATATCCCAGTTCAAAGCAGATCATCTGGGATTTTATTCAGCTGTGTGGAAGGGGTCTAAGTCCAGTTGTATCCAACTTTGGAGGTTGTTGCTCATCTCCATTCCTAAGCTAAAGAGCCAGTGTTGTCCACAGACACCTCCACAGTGGTCGGCATGACTGCATGGAGTGCCGTTACCTTCCCGCTGGAGCGGTACCTTTTGATCTACTCACATTTGCATGTTTGCGAACTGCTAGGTAGGCAGTTGCTGGGGCTGACAGCGGGAGCACACACTGTTCCTCGGATTCCAACCTGCGATCTTGTGGTCAACAAGTTCAGCAGCTCAGCGGTTTAAACCAGTGTGCCGCTGGGCCCCCTGTATTGGCACTTACTAGTGAGTTCATTGCATTGAAATAAATGTGATTCACATTTATTTATTTATTTATTTATAGTATTTATATTCCATCCTTCTCACCCCGCAGGGGACTCAGGGCAGATTACAATTTACATATACATGGCAAACATTCAATGCCATTTAGACATACAACATATATAGAGGCACAGAGGCAATTTAACATTCCAGCTTTCTGGCTTCATGAGGCTCAATTCTGGCCACAGGAGGAGCTGCCGCTTCACCGTCCACTTGTGACACCAAGTCCTTGATGGGGTATTATTATTATTATTATTATTATTTCCGGTATTTCTATCCCATTCCTTCTCAACCCCTGGAGGGGGACTCAGGATGGCTTACATTTGGCAGCAATTCGATACCACTACATATAACAGAGCAATATAACAACAATTAAAACAATAAATAAAACATTCATTAAACCTGTAAATAACAGTATTAATAGCCGTATCATCATTCCAGTCAATTCCATATCCAATTCCATGTCCAAAGTGCTACCTATGTCTGTTGTCCAAAAGCCTGGTCCCAGAACAACAACTTCAATTTCTTCCTAAATAACAGGAGGGATGGAGCCGATCTCACCTCAGTGAGAGTTCCAAAGGTGGGGGGCCACATCCGAGAAGGCCCTGTCTCTCATCCCCGCCAGACGTATTTGCGACGCTGGCGGGAGCGAGAGTAGGGTCTCCCCGGATGATCTTAAACTGCGAGGCGGGACATAGAAGGAGATGCATTTGGACAAGAAAGCTAGGCCAGAACTGTAGAGGAGTTCAAAATGTAAGACTTCCTCAATCTTACTTTTTATGGTGTCATAAATTAGTTAAATTAGTCTCCCCGCATGAAGCCGTACCTAAGTTTCCTACTTGACAGACGCAACTGTCTTTTGGGCTGCATAGGTCAATAGCAAGCTAGACTATTCATGGTCGGGAGCTCTCTCGTAACCTTTTGGCCAGTAGTGATTTAATGCTGTGCCATAGCCTTCTACATCAGGCAAGGGCCAACTTCTGCCTTCCTTCCAGGTGTTTTGGACTTCAACCCCCATTCCTAACAGCCTAGGCTGTTAGGAATGGTGGGAGTTGGAGTCCAAAACACCTGGAAGGAAGGCAGAAGTTGACCCTTGCCTGTTTGGTTCCCAGACAGCGCATGCGTACAACCCGGTCCCGACTCTGGTGACGTCATCCCTCCCTTTCGAGGCCGGCTTTCCCCCCTCCCTCTCCGATCTTTGTCACTCCAGTCTTGCAGGCGGGCGGCTCTCTGACTAAATCGTCTGTGTGTTGGTTGGCGCGCCCGCCCGCCCGCCTTCCCGCCCCATTCCCAGCAATACCACGACGGAGCCCGCCCACTCCGGCTCGACGCTGGTTCCGTGGCGTCGCTTCGTCCCTCCCGCCTCTTCCACGCAGGACTCAGCCACAGCCGCGGCCTCGGCGGCAGGAGGAGAGAGAGACATAGAGGAGAGGAGGTAAGTGCGAGCTCTCCCTGGTCTCCTTTCCCCTTTCTCCCGCTCCACGCCCCCTGAAACCCCGCGGAAGAAGTCCGTCGCCCCGCTTTTTGCCCGGCTGGCTGGCTCCCTTTCAACCCCAAGTGTTTCTCAGCCTTCCCCCCAACCTCCTTCCCTTCTCTCCCCACCTTGCACCCTCTCACTTCACCCCCTATCCTCTTGACTCCCTAGTTTCTCTGCCGCAGCAAAAGCTTTCCCTTCCCTAACTCCAATCTGTGTCTCTCTTTCTCTCTCTGTCTATTATCACACCCCCTTGGGGGATTGCGTGATCTCCCACTCCTGCCCCTCCAGCCTCTTCTTCTCCCCCTTTTGGGCACCTTCCCAATCTCTATTGGGCCCTTCCACACTGTCCTTATGTCCCAGGATCCGATCCCACACTATCTGCTTATCCCAGGTTATGTGTCAGTGGAGACTCATATAATCCGGTTAAAGCAGATAATTTGGGATCGGATCCTGGGATAGAAGGCAGTGTGGAAGGGGGCATACTGTCCTTATATCCCAGAATATCAGATAATCCGTTTATCCCAGGTTATGTGTCAGTGGAGACTCGTATAATCCGGTTTAAAGCAGATAATTTGGGATCGGATCCTGGGATAGAAGGCAGTGTGGAAGGAGCCACACACACACACACACACCAGGGTTAGGTTTGTATAACCCTTCTTTCCCCAGCCACCTAATATACAGAAGCCTTGTATCTAAACTCAAACTCCACTATCCTGGCTATACAGAACTTCCAGATGCTGCAGTATCACAACTCCCATCAGCTCTAGGGCCCTTCCACACAGCACTATGTCCCAAGAATATCAAGGCAGAAAATCCCACAATAGCTGCTTTGAACTCTGTTATCGGAGTCCACACTCAGGTAATGTGGGGTTTCCTGCCTTGATATTCTGGGATATAGGGCTGTGTGGAAGGGCCCCCAGAAAACCCAGTTCCAAGCATTTCGGGCTGTATGGCCATGTTCCAGAAGCATTCTCTCCTGACTTTTTGCCTGCATCCATGACAGGCATCCTCAGAGGTTGTGAGGTAGCCCAAAAAACCTACAACAACCCAGTAACAATACTGTAAGCGGCCTACAGCATAAATAAATACAATTAATAATATGCAAAGTAAAAACAAACCAGATAATAACATGACAAATCAATATAAACACAAAACAAAAAAATAAACAAGTTCAGGTGAACTGGTGGCGGTTTGAATCCAGGGAGCAGGGTGAGCTCTCATTGCTTGTCCCAGTTTCTGCCAACCTAGCAGTTCAAAAACATGCAAATATCAGTAGGTCAATAGATACTGTTTTGGCAGGAAGGTAATGCCGCTCTTTGCAGTCATGCCAGCCACATGATCTTAGAGGCGTCTACGGACAACGCCGGCTCTTCGGCTTAGAAAGGAAGATGAGCATCAGCCCCCAGAGTCGTACATGACTAGACTTAATGTCAGGGGGAAACCTTTACCTTTAATAAATACAACAAATAATATATGCAAAGTAAAAAAATAAACCAGAGAATAACATGACAAATCAATATAGAGCCAAAACAAATGAAATAATAGGCAATATAAAAGATTAGTTTAAACACAGTGATTCCTAAAAGTTAAATAAAAGCCAAAATACTCAAAATAAACTTTATTGGTATCCCCCCCTATCAGGAAGGCCAACAACATATAATGGCGGTATTTGATGCCGTATAACCAACTAATAAGCAAGACATACCTTAAATTGAATGATAGCACGTTAAACATCGACATGAAACAATAATGAGAAATGACCACAAATTGCATTTTTAACTCAACTATTCTACCAAAACATACAATGTTTTCAAATGAGTAAAAATTTTAAAATATTTAAAAATGTAAAAGGATATAAAGACTATATGGGTCTTTTAAAAAGGTAAAGGTTTCCCCTTGACATTAAGTCCAGTCATGTCTGACTCTGAAGGGTGGTGCTCATCTCCATTTCTAAGCCGACAAGCCAGCATTGTCCGTGGACACCTCCAAGGTCATATAGCCAGCATGACTGCATGGAGCGCCGTTACCTTCCCGCCAGAGTGGTACTTATTGATCTACTCACATTTGCATGTTTTTGAACTGCTAGGTTGGCAGAAGCTGGGGCTAACAGTGGGAGCTTGCCCTGCTACTCAGATTCAAGCTGCCAACCTTTTGGTTAGCACCTCAGCAGTTTAACCCACTGCACCATGGGGGGGAGGGTGGTGTTCCTATATAGATATATTTCTGTTACTTATTTTCCCCCCTGGGCTTATGTTTCCCCCTTCTCCCACTTGTTTCCCTTGACCCTCTTCTCCCCATTTCTACCTACAAGGGCCCTCATTTCCCATTTCCTTCCAAACAATGTTGTGTTCCCCCAACATTGGCACCCACCTGCTTTTGTCTTATCAACATTTACCCACCACCATCTCTTTCCTAACCTTGAATTGTATGCCTTCATGTGGCCTGCAGACTTGAGGCTACCCCTTACATAAGATTATTTATTTCCCTGTGCCACTCCTAATAGGATTGTGTCACCTCATCTCCTGTACACTCTTTTTCCCTTGTGTTTTTTGGCGCTCCCTATCCCAGCTGTACTTTTGCCATCTGGTCCCTGGGTTCTCCCAGCCTCTTCCTGGGAGTTTTCTGAACTTTTGTCCTGCTCTCTTCTTTTTTTCCCCCACCTCCCACACACACTAGTGTGCATTTCCGACCATTTCTTATCCTGCTGGTGAAACACCACTAACTCACTTCTCTAGCAATCACTTTGATTCTGATAGCTCTGTCCCTGTCTGTCAATAACAAGAGAGCTATAGGCACTGTTTTGGCTCAACTTGAGTTTTTTGGCTTTTACGTCTCTTTTGTTAATCAATTACTACTGTTCCCCCTTGTCATGCTTTCCTCACTTCCAGGACTTCATTTCTTGTTTATGTTCCCCACTATAGTATTTACTTTTAATTGCATACTTGTTGGAGTGATCTCTCTCTCTTTTGTTTTTGGTACCAATCCATATTTATTAGGTTTTCTTAGTTACCTGTTTGCTTTTGAAGTGTGAAAGTTACAATACTGTAAGGATTACAACCATATCCAGCTGCACATGAGGTGCCTGAAACTTTTGAAAATGTTATGTATACAAATGTTTTATGTTTGTTTATTTTAAAAACATATTTTTACTGGGTTGCTGTGAGTTTTCCGGGCTGTGTGGCTACATTCCAGATGCATTCTCTCCTGATGTTTTGCCCACATCAATGGCAGGCATCCTCAGAGGTTGTGAGGACGCCTGCCATAGATGTAGGCCTAATGTCAGGAGAGAATGCTTCTGGAACATGGCCATTCAGCCTGGAAAACTCACAGCAACCCAGTGATTCCGCCCATGAAAGCCTTCGACAACACATTGAACATATTTTTAACTTTCAAGTTTTTGTAGGGGAAATACAATAATACATCCACATTTTTAGTCTTATCCAAATTATTACTATTGTCATCATAATCTTTTTATATTACCCATCTTGCGCCACTCTTTAGGTTCTGGGACTGATGTTTCTGTTTGCCATTGACTTTTAGAAAGGCGCAGTTCTAGTATGATTTCCTCTTCTATTAAAGTAGTAATTCTTCTTTGGAAGAAGAAAGCAGAACTTTGAGAGCAGTTTTATATTTGAGCATAAAATGAGAGAGTGAGTGACTGCAAGACAATCACCAAAGTGGACCCTTGTTAACTGCTAGGCTTTAGTTCCAGGATACACACTCATGTGTGGATACCAAAATCCATGGATGCTCAAGGTCCCATTATATGCAGTGGTGTAGAAAACTTCTGTTCCTTACATAAAATGGCAAAATCCAGATTTGTGTTTTGGAATTCTTTTTTCAGTTGCCGAGGGAATATTTTCAAGCTGTGGATGTTGGAATCCGTGGATACAAAATCTCTGGATATGGATGGGTTACTATATTTAATGACCAACATGTTTATTGTCATCATATGGGTTCCTTTAATGATATTCATAAATTAAACTACATTAAAATGTTACTCCAGTTGACAGGTAGGGATGTTCTTTGGGGGTGAGTATACAGAGTTGAAGAGGAAAAATATAAACTCTTTAAAAGTACAGTAAGATTCCTGTATCCGCAGGTGATACGTTCCTGGCTGGACCGTGGTTATCTGAAACAGTGGATACTACCGAATGCTATCAAATGACCTGAATTCGGGTATCAGCATACCATAAAACCACCTGAAAATCCTAGACAGATTTTTCCTTGGACGCAGGTAAGTAAAACAGTTGATATGGGTTCTGCAGTTACGATGGTCTTATTGTGAATGTTAATAATGGTTATGAAGTGCAAAATGTAAAGTCTGTAATAGTTTTCCTCTGCATAGTGACCCTCGCTAGACCTAGGAGATAGTATGTCATGTTTGATAAAGTGGATCCTGATCCATGGCAGTTTATGCTGTAATAAATATTTTAGTCTTAAAGTGTCAGAAGGTATTTCTACATGGTAAATATTCATAGCATTTCTACAAAGAGGTGAGGCTTTTGCCATATCTTGATGTTTTTTAAACCCTTTTGTCTTGAAACCTTCATAGAGAAGACACTGTGGTTAAATGTTCAGACACATGGCACAGGAATGTCCTGGAACACTTTGCACATCAGTGTTTATCGGCAGGGCTATATTTACTGTTTAAAAGGAGATCTATATTTTGTGGAAAGAATACCTGTATTATGCACGTAGACTACATAAGTATGTAAATTATCTTGTCTCACTTTCAGAATTTCATAGCTATGTAGTTGCTTCTCTTTCTCCCCTTGCTTTCCTACATTATAAAATCCATCCTAAAAATTTATTTTTGGTCAGAAGAACTAGAAGTTTGTATTTTAAAACTGAAATGTGAGATACCCTTGAATGCCATATAGTTTTGACTGCCTGGGATCTAGGAGTACTTTATTAAATATAAATTGTGTTCATTGCTTTTTTAGCACTTTACCCTCACAAAGCAATGTGCAATAGAGCGTTTAAAACAAAGGAACACATTGCCATATTGGCCAGTAATAATGAGAAGGTGCTCTTAGATATGTGTGGTAATTACAATCTTATATAGAAGCTAGCTTTGAAGAGGAATGTCTCATCCAAATACCTGTGTACAAGAAATAAGGTGGAGGTCAACAGAAGGGAATTCCCAGTTGTGGAAGCACCAGTTCTGGAGATCTCCAGTTCCCACAGCACTTGTCTCTTGTGCCTACTAGATTGATCTTAAATACAGCACCTTGACTTGGGTTTCTTAGGCAAGTCTTTTAAAAAATGAAGATCAGCACTTTACTGGAATATCTGTCAGAGTAGCATAGGATTGCTTCATGCCACGGTGTATATTTATACAGCAGGCCTTTGGTATCTGCTAGAGTTTGGTTCCATGCCATGGACACCAAAATCCAAGGTTTGGTTTGAGATTTTTAAAAACATTTTCACACTGTGGATTCTTGAATTAGTAGATACGGAAACTATGGATATGGAGGCCTAGCTATCGATCCACTTACCTGTGCAGTATATTTTAATGACCCCATTATTTCTGATAAGCACCTGACAATTTGGTTTCATTTTTTTTTTTTTGCCTAGTGGTGTTAACTTCCAACAAGTATGCGGCAACCATTGAAATAAGTAGCAACTTTTTTCTTGGCTCTTTCTCCTTAAAATTAAAAGTAAATATTAATTACTTGGTTTAATGCTGATGCTTCAAAACAACCACATTCTTTTCCCCAATTGTTTATAACTGCTCAGTTGTAAATAGTTGTGTATAAATATTAGTTCCATAATACTTTTTGACTCTGTTGCTTGGACATTCCATAAGTGGGCAGCTGGCTTAGAATCTGACGAACACAGCCACTTCTCTTTCTGAGGACACTATGATTTGAACAGAAATAAGAAGTTGTTTTTCCCCAGTGGAAATTTCTACAGAGAAAATCCATGCTGAATGTTAGGGCTCCCTTCTTAGCTCAGCTTCTGGAACTTTGGAAACCACATCATACGCTGCATAGAGTCATCAGACAGTTTTCTTTTTGTGCAGTTGAGGACCTGTGGCAGCATACCTGACTCTTTTCTAAAAATGTGCCCCAGCTGCTTGTTTTTCTTCATGGAAGAAAAGTTACAGAAATGTGCTTGTGCGGTGCCAGCAGTGATAAGGTAGCTGAGAGCAATACTTACTGGGACAAGTAGTTAGCAAGAGCAAGGTAAACTTTGCCATCTATGTTTTCCTATTGTGGCTGGCTTTCATTAAAACCAGAATGAAATTGTATGGGGAAAGTTCTGTACAACATAAACATATCTTTTACATATGAAGAGAAGCTTGGCCATACCCATCTGAATTTTTCATTTGCATGACAGGAATAATAACCACACCATTCTGAGCCAGCATTGATAGTGGAAAAACTGGATAAGGATGACGGTAATGCTAATTATCATGTTGGAAAAGGCCACTCCATGTGTTTACTGTGATAACAGATAAGACACAAGGCACATAGACAGTGATCTGATTCATAGCTTGGGAAAAATGTGGTTTTGGCTATAATTTCCAGAATGAGGTAAACACCATGGAATTAGTCTTAAGAATTAGCTTTTAAAAGTAGCTTTTACAAACTCTGATTCTAGGCTTGCAGTTCTCTTCTGTAGAGTTACCTGGTTTAAGGGGAAATATAAAATATAGCGAGGAACCGTGGCAATAACAAGCTGCAGAAGCCATAGCTAATTGGAAGATTTTGAAGCAATTTAGGTTTCTATTCACCCTAAATTGAATTCCAAAGTATTGCCTCTCTTCATGTTGTGAATAAGAGCCAACATGGCGGAGATGTGGGGCTGTTTTAAGCTTGCCTTCTGCGGGATTTGACTCGATGGTCTAGGCAGCCAGGATCTTATTGGATTCAGTGACTTCCTATTTGCACAAAGCTGACTATGTTCCAGATCTTGAGAACTGAAAATGTTTGAGGGGGATGCCAATCCCAGATGGAAAGAGCATGTGTTGGGCTGCTGCGTCACTTTTGCTTGGATGGTTAACATTTCTGGGAAATTACTGGCCTGGGACTATTATGTTTTTCAAAATTCTCCTACAGTTTTTTGTAAAACCGAATACTTACATTCTCCTCAAAAGTTTTCCCTTTCCCTCCATTTTCTCCTCTTTATTTATTCTTCTGTTTTTGGTCACAGATATTGAGAACAAACATAGTGTAACCATTTATTCTTTCAGACTTTAGAGGTTTTTTTAACCATCTGTAATTTTAATTTAGTTTACTCTGTGTTCTTTCCATGTGAACACTTCTATTATGTTAATCCAAAACTCTGGATCATTGTGTCCTAAGAAACTTTTATGGTTAGTTCTCCATGGACCGGGAGGAGCCAAACTTTCCTCATGTGCTTGAACTTTTTATGGTGAAAGAGTTTGATTGATAATAAGCTGTGTTTTCCAAGGGTGGGGAGAAGAGCAGCAAATTTAACTGGAGCAGAGAATCAGCAAGGAAAGGAAGAACATGAATTTAGAAGATTGCCTTGATTGGGATAGAGAGACTTCTAATATTGTAATTATAGTGATTAGTTTGGCTGGATTTTGACGTGTTCCTTTACAAAAGTAGTTCATGATAGTTTGGTATCATAATAGTTTGTCCACATTTGCATTACTTCTTCCCTTTCTTATAGCACAGTCTTTAGTGGGATTGTGCAGGTACAAAGCTGGTAAAAATGGCTAGCGATACTTATTTCCTCTCCGAACCAATAGCTTTGGTGAAACAGGAAGTAAGCAATTGGTGCATAACTGAATTCTCATACTTCTCTAAGAAATTGTGTTTAGTTTTACATGTGGGATGGTAACAAAGTGCACCAGTTAGACCAGGAATGGGAAGCAGGCAACTTTCAATATGTTGGGCTGCAACTCCTAGCAGTTCTTGCCAACATAGCAAGTACAGACCTACAATGACTTGTGGGCTCTGTGATCCCCATCCCCACATTGTGCCTTGTCTGTTCAAGTTTCTGGTATTTCCAAAGCCACAGGAAAACTGGATGTGGAAGTCTGTTGTCTGAGACCCTGGAGAGCTGTTGCCAGTGAAAGTTAATATTAGGGTAAGTTTATACATTCTGTTCCACTGTTGCAGCTTCTCATGTTTAATTGGTATGATTAAAAATAATAATCAGGAAACAACGTTTAGGACGAAACTGTCAGTTCTCAAAAGTGAAGAGTCTGTTCTTTCGGGGACCTGCTTTGGGACTGGAGTTTTTAAATTTAATCAAAAATGGTCTGGGTTTAAGGATTTCTGTGAGATGGTCAGGTTTATTGGACAGGTCAGGAATGAGAATGAATTAGAAAATGATAATTGAGATCTGAAGAGTTCCAGGAGGATCTCTCTGCACTGAGCAAATGGGCTTTAAACCAGCCAATGATACTCAATGTAAGCAAGATGATATATACTGTGGCAATATATCTCAACTTTAGATATTCACCAGTGAGATTTTAGCTGGCAATAATGGCCCAAAAGAGAAAGAACTCTTGGGAGTATAGTAGAAAAGTTGAGGAAAATGACCTAAGGCTGGACTGCTGAGGGAAGGACCTGAGCAGAGCTAGGGCGTGTCCTCCGTTGATTTCAAGCAGAAGAAGGTTCTTCAATATTCAAAACTTCTGGGAGTTCATATTCTCTGCAGGATGCCATATCTTGTATCAGATGATATTCTGAAGGAGCTGAAGAGAGCATTGTCTAACCCACATGTACAAGCTGATCAGCTCTGCTATAGAAATGTTTTTCAGCATGTGATCAGGCATATGACACAAGGTCATGGTGTCTATATGGAGATGGTTAAAGCTAGTGCCACTGTGGACATTATTCAGAAGAAGTTAGTTTACTTGTACATGTGCACGTATGCTTCACTGAAGCCTGATTTAGCTCTCCTAGCTATCAACCCTCTATGCAAAGATTGCCCAAACCCTATGGTTAGGGCCTGGCCCTGCACAGCATGATGCCTGGCATACAGGAGTATATCCAACAGCCAATCCTGAATGGCCTGCGAGACAAAACCTCCTATGTTAGGAGAGTAGCTGTTCTTGGATGTTAGAAAATGAATAAAAAAATAAAACAACCAGTGCATGGTGAATCTCTATCTGGAATACTGTCACCTGGCACCTCACCTGGAATAGAAGATTGTCAAACAGGAAAAGATGAGGAAACGGCAACCAGTGTTATCAAAGGAATTGAACTTCTCAATTGAGAGTAAAGGCTATATATCTTGTCAGTGTTTAGC